GCGTGTGTGTGTGTGTGTGTGTGTGTGTATATATACAGGGCCCCACTAACCGAAGAACAAATAGATTTATTAGTTAATTTTATGGATTTAGATAGCGAGGGGATGGTTGAATATGAAGAGTTCTTAGATTCTTTTTTGCCTATAGATAGTTTTTGTTCATCACCAAACGGCTTACATAAACACTCTCCTCCTGCTGCTGCTGCTCCTGCTGCTGCTGCTGCTGCTGGTGGTGGTGGTGGTGGTGCTGGTGCTGGAGCGGGGGCTGCAGCAGGAGCTAAGAAAGATGCAGGAGAAAGAACAGCAGCAGCAGCAGCAGCAGCAGAAACAGCAGCAACTGCAGCAACAGAAACAGATAAAGGAGATACAGATGCTGCTGCAGCAGACACACAAAAAGAGAGTGATGTTACTGCTAACGGTAGCAGCAGCAGCAGCGGCAGCAGCAACAAAAGCAGCAGCAGCAAGAGCAGCAGCAGCAGCAGCAGCAGCAGCAGCAATCGAGCTGCTGCAGCAGCAACTCGTGATGATTCGTCAGCAGCAAAAGGAAAGAAAAGCAACGAAGATGCAGCAGCAGACATCACCAAAAGGCCAGCAGCTTCTGCTTCTAGCACCAGCAGCAGCAGCAGCAGCAACAGCAGCAACAGCAGCAGCAGCAGCAGCAGCAACAAAGGCAGCAGCAGCAGCAGCAGCAAGCAATCCATGGATGTAGATGAAGGCTCACGCAGATTTACATTCAGCAGCCAGCTGTCAAGCTAAAATTATAAAAAAAAAAAAAAACAGCAGCAACAGCAGCAGCAGCAGCAGCAGTATATATATAGATACATATTCAGCTCGTGCTGCTGTTGCTGCTGCTGTTGCTGCTGCTGTTGCTGCAGCAGCAGCAGCAGCAGCAGCAGCGCACTGAGGGCCCCATTAGGGGGGTGATGCGCAGCAAAGAACAGTGAAGTGTACATACACCTTCCTTTCGTTTTCTTGCTGCAGCAGCTGCAGCAGCCGCTGCTGCTGCTGCTGCTGCTGCTGCTGCAGCAGCCGCTGTTGCTGCTGCTGCTGCGGGAGCTGCAGCAGCAGCAGCAGCAGCAGAGGACCCGAGAGAGGAGCCTCTCTGTTCACTGACATTGGCAGTTGTTAGTTGGTAGCGAGTACACACGAAGCAGACCCCTTGCTGCTGCTGCTGCTGCTGCTGCTGCTGCAGCACAGCAGCAGCAGCTGCTGCTGCTGCAGCAACTGCTGTAGCTGCTGCTACAGGACTTGCCTTGTATGCGCAAGCAACAGCAA